CCGGTTAATTATTATTATTATTAACCATATCTAAAAAGTTTAAGAAGCTGTTTATTATTATTATTATTATTATTATTAACATTTTTGGCTAATTTTACATACATTTATATATATATATATATATATATTTAAAAAAGGCTTTATTTATCAGCTCAATAACATCATTATTTTTTATAATATGATATCATAATAGTTTATATGATACGGCGGCTCTACTACAATTTACATTAAAAAAAAAAAAAGATACAACAATAAATAATGTGGGGAGGGGATGAATAAATAATGATGAGGGGAGGGGAGGGGAATAAGGGGTAACATTTTCTTTCAGAAAAAAAAAAATAGGAAAAAACGAACCTTCCCGCACTTTGTGGCAGGCTGTTGAAAACAAACCTATTGTCGTTTCAATAGATTAAAGGTTCATAAATTAATTAAATAAATAAATAAATAAAAGAGAATATTTTTTTATACGAATACTGTGTGATAGTTTTAAAAAAAAAATTTTTCGTTTTTCTTTTTTATAATTTCGGTTAGCAGTTACAGTTACCGTTGTGTGGTCCCTGAGGTGCTTCAGTTAATCTAGTACCTGAAATCCAACATTTATTTGTTTATAACACAAATAGATAATGAGAAAAAAAATTTTGTTTGTTTGTTTGTTTGTTACCTTTATTAGCTCCTCCTGCCATTAATGTCGGATCAGAATCGAGACTTTCTGACATTTTGTCACAAATAATATCGACCAGCCTTTCAAAAACGGCCTGTAACGATAAAAAAAAAGTTGGTTATTCTCTTTCATTACAACATGTCCCTCAAAAAAATTTTTTTTTTTTTTTTTTTTTTTAGTAAGACTAACCTTTACGTTGATGTTTTCTTTGGCAGAAGTTTCGAAAAATTCAATGCCAAGCTGTTCGGATAATTGTTTTCCTCTTTCGAAACTTATAACTCTTTCATCTTCCATGTCGCATTTGTTGCCTACTAAAATCACTTGAGCGTTATCCCATGAGTATGTCTTTATTTGGGTTACCCTATATAATTATTATTTTATACTCGTTAATATTATTAAAAAGTTTACTTAAAAGTTCAATTACTCGTATCTTACCAATCTTGGACACTATTAAATGATTCTTCGTTTGTTATATCGTACATAAGTATAAAACCCATGGCACCTCTATAATAAGCTGTTGTGATTGTTCTGTACCTTTCTTGTCCGGCAGTATCCTAAATAATCAAAAAATATATTTATTTGTATGTTAAGTGATGCAAAATATCAAATTATCATTATCATATCAGTAAAACCTCCACACACACACACACAAAACAAGTTTTTATCGAGGTTTTTAAATTAGTTCAAGTTAATTTTTTTTTTTTCTATTTCCTGTCGATTTTATTTTATGTCAAATAATAATAACTAAAAAAAAAAAATTTCTTACTAACTTACTTACCCAAATTTGTAATTTAACTCTTTTATCGTGACGAAAAACAGTTTTAACTTTAAAATCGATTCCAACTGTACTGACAAAAGCTGACGTGAAACTATCGTCTGCATACCTAAATAAAAATGAAGTTTTTCCAACCGACGAATTTCCAATAATCAAAAGTTTAAACATGTAATCGAAATTTTGATCTGCTGCATCCTTTTGCCATTTTGGATCCTGTTCTCCAGCCATCTTTAATAATATAGAAGAAAAAAAAAATTTCATTCTCCCTTTATTTTTAATCCCGTTATTATTATTATTATTATTATTATTACACGATAATAATATCATGTGGTTTATCGAGAGAGAGAAAGAGAGAGAGAGAGAGAGGAGGGATTTGTATCGTTTTACCTTTTTTAAATCACCAAAAGGTATTTCTACCAGGGATAATATCCTGGTATTTCGTAGTCCCTCATTTTGTATGGGTGAATCGTTTGATATGTTAGCCTGCATTGATAAAAACCCTTTGATTGATAATAAATAATTTTAACAATAATAATAATAATAATA